CTCATAACTCGCTGTGTGGCATCGGACAACTCACCTCCCTCACTGGGCCTCAGTAGACCTTCCCAAGTTCCTCCCTGCTGAGATATTCCAGGATTCACACCCCCAGTGACTTGGCCTCTGAGTGGGGCTTGGGAAATGCACTGAATCTGTCTCTGGAAAGGGCACAGTGAAGAGTGGGGGGCTTGCCCTGAGCCCTGCCTTCAGGGAGCGTCTGCAGGGAGGAGAGAGGTGGTGAGCACATGGGTGATGTCTTTCGATGTATTTGTGGGCAGGGGCGACAATTCAAGATACTCAACAACCAGGGCAGCCCAGGCAGGGATTGACGCATTGGGGGGAGGGGGCTGTTGTGCCAGCTGTTAATCCTTTAGTTCTTGGAGCGGTGAGCCCTGGGAGTGCTGGGAGAGGGGCCTGGGAGGCAAGGGAAAAAAAACCCCAAAAACATTTGGAGCGCTTGGGGCAGGGCCCATTTATTAACTGGGGTGGAAGTATTTCACCATTTTGACCACCCGTGTGACTGGCCAACCTGCTGCCTGCCAGCCCTGTTTATGGGAGGGGAGGGACAGAGAAGCCTGCTGGATCCCTGGGAGTGGGTTTCTAGTCATTCCCACCATCAGAAGAAGCCAAGAGTCCTTTCATTCAGTGGGGGCAGGTCACTCTTCCCACTTGGCCCAGCTTCCCACGGCCCCCGGTCTGCCACCCCGGCTTCCCCCACCTCCCTTTGCACACAGATCCTGAGGCTCCAAAGCCCAGTCAGGGCTGGAGCAAGCCCAGCAGCTGCCCTGGACCACAGGCCAGGGGACCTCAGCTCCTGGCTCCTCTGCAGCTGCCTTGGCCATCTCCCCTCACCCGCACAGATCCCCGCCCCCATATCCCCCATCCCCTAGGTGAGGGCCTTTCCCATCTCCTTCCTGCCAGGCCCATGGAGGAGAAAGTTAAGGTGGGGCTGGAGAGTGGGAGCAGCGGGAGCAGGTACAATTGAAGGGCAGCTGGTGGGGGGACCCTGGATTCTTGGTCCAGGGCCCCTGCTCTGCCGGCTGCCCCCACTTCCCTGTGCAGCAATTTTGGTTTCTATTTTAAACAGCTTGGGTTGGTTGCTTCCCTGCCTTCCTGCTGGGTGTTTACAGTGAGAAAAATAATTGGTAATATTTGCACAGATGTGCTGGCACTGCAGCTCATCACGGGCACCTTTACCCAGGGGATCCTCCCTGCCCCCAGCCTCTCTCTGCCAGCCTGAGGAGCCAGCCTGAAAGGGAGTACTGAAGCCCCATGCCTCCCAGGAGCCTCAGGCAGTGAGCGCATGCAGAACTGGGAAGCAGGAGGCCTAAAGGGCTCCAGGTATGCTGGAGGCAGGCCTCAGCCCGAAGGAGGGGCCTGATGTCACTGCCTGTGCTCCAGGGACTGATCAAGACAAGCCCAGGCTCCACGGGATGGGCTCCATTTCTGATTCCATTTTCTCCTGCAGAGCCTGAATTTATAGCTGAGTGTAGGGATGGGGGTAAAAAGGGGAGGAAGCATGACCAGGGTTGAAAATAGGACATCATTTGGCTTCTCTTTCCCTTTCTCAAGGCCTGAAACAGCATTCTGGAGAGCTAAGAAAGTGTTGGGAATTGTCTGGGCCGTGAGGCAGCCTGTCAGCCCAAGCAGGGCCTGGACTGGGGAGTGTGCTGCCCAATGTCCATTCCAGGGCCCCGAGCCCACCTGGTGATGGGGTGCGACCCCAGAGTAGGCAGGGCCCTGTAACAGTCCTCAGCCTCCATGGCCCCTTCTTCACCCCTTGCATGTGCACATGCTGCATGTGTGGGTACACATGTGAGTTGTGCTGCATGTGTGAGCTGTGCATGTGCATGTGTGTGCACCTGTGCATGAAGGTGTACATGGTTGCATGGCTGTGCCTGTGTGTGTTGTATGCATGCGTGAGGGTGCATGCATATGCAACTGTGTGCACATATGTGGTGTATGTATGTGTGCATTTGAATGTGTATGTGTGTGCCTGGGTTTCGGTTTCCCCCAGAGACCAACCCAGAGACAAGGATGCAATTGCAGCTAGTTTATTTCGAGGTGATCCCAGGAAGCACAGTGGGGGAGTGGGGAAGAAGACAGAGAGAGGAAGGCAGCCAGTGAGGGGCATGGATCAGGCAGACTGCTGCTATGGGCAACTCAGTCCCACCGGGGAACCCTGGGAGCCAGTGTAGAACATGACGAGCATTCTCCCACCCAAGGGGCAAGACATCTGGGGTGTTTATCCACCTACTCCCAACTGTCATTAGCTGAAGTCTGCATTAGCTCTCTGGCCAAGTGTCACAGGGTTCCCACCCCAGGAAGCAGCCTTTAACGCAGAGAGGTGAATGCAGAGGGGACCTGGCTGGGCACCTCTGCCTCTACTGCTGGGTGGGTGGGTGTGGGAGATGCAGTGATATGTTGCTCAGGGCCCCTTCAGGAAGGATGGACAGTCCTCCAGCTGTGCAGGTACTGGCAGCAAACAGCCTTTGGGGCAAGCTCCTTTGAGGGTTGCCTCAGCTGAAGAATGCTGCCTTGCCTGAGGTCACATCCCCTCTCTGGGTGGTCCACATCCAATGACTGATTGACGGGGGACAGAAAGGCTTGGCTCTTCACCCCAACTTGGGTCAATTCTAAAGGGCATACTGGCTCCACTGTGGGTTGGCCCAAACCGTCACTCGGAGGCATTGCAGCCTGAGCTTTCCCTCTGCCCAGAACTGCCTCTTCCCTTCCACAAATGCTATCCCAAGAGTGGCCCCAAATGTGCATCCTACAGGTTAATCTCTGCCTTGGGCACCCAGACCGTGCAGCATGTGTGTGTGCACATGTGCATCGCTATGTTTTACAGGTAGGTGCACATGCCGTGGGGCATGCATAGCCCACCTCCTCAGGCCCTTCTATGCACAGTGACTGAGAGGCCAGGCCAGTCCCTTTGCTGGCCCAGATCGAGAGGATGGTGTAGATTTGATGCTGAGGCTGGGGCCTGAGGCAGGCAGAGATGGCTGCTTCTTTACACCACCCAGGAGCAGCCCCTGGGATGGAAGATATGGGAGACCCAAGAGTAGGCAGCAGGGGAGTGGAGTGGGTTGACCCCCACACCCCGTGTCCACCCTTGGTAGCACCAGGCAGCTCTGTGGAGCCTCGATCACTCTGGCTCACATCTCTGCCTCCCTGGCCTCCGAGGCTCTTGAGCCTAGAAGCGATTTTTCTCCAGGCATGGATCCTGTCTCGATCCTGCCTCATCTGTACTCTAAGCAGATAAGTCCTGGGACATGTAGACACTGGCCACCCTCCTCCCAAGGCCCATATGTGGGCTTGTTCTCTCCAGAGGCTGCTGGGGGTCAGGAGCAGCAGACCTGGCGATAGAGGTCAGTCTTGGAGAGGAATGGGATGCAGGCAAGGACAGCAAGAGGCCCGGGGGCACCAAGTGTTACGGAAATGTTTATTACATTACAACTGCTGATGATGCCAGGAGTGAAGGGCTGGGCGACGCGCAAGGTGAGGGAGGACGGTGGGGGAGGTGACAGGCAGTGGTGGAGCCACAGCCCTCGCCTCTGGTTGGGGCACAGGAATGGCCACGTCCTCAAATCATATACAACAGGGTCCTGCAGCTTGAGCCGAACAGGCCTGTCCTCCCAATGTACTGCCCTGCTGCCTGCCTGGGCTTAAAAATTCTGGATATTTCCCAGTGGTCGGGAGTGTCAAGAGTAGCCTTGAACAGGGAGTGAAGATGGCCTAGGCCTGGCTAGGGGCCCCCAGCATTCAGAGGTGGGAAAACATCACTGGGCTTTGAGAGACTGGCCCCAACGTCCTCCTTGAGTTTCTGGAGCCCTCACAAATGGCTGCAATTTGGCTCCAGCCTGGATGCTTCAGGAAGAATTTAAACAGCTTGGAAACCCCCCATGGGAGGCTCCTGCCACACCCCTGCCCACAAATGCAAGGAGTTATGTGAAAACAAATCCCTTAGATGAATTCTACTCATCCTTCTAGGCCTTGCTCAAGGGACACCTCCTCCAGGAAGGCTTCCTGCACACGGCTGGCTATGCAGCAGCCCACGCCCGGCCTGTGTCCCTCCCCTCGTCTACACTGCCTTTTCCCCAGGGTCTCCTCACTGCGCTTCCCACAGGGCTGGATCTAACGCCTGCACTCAGTGGCTTGTGGGCTGCTGGCACTCTCTCTCAGTCTACCTGGAATGGCACCAACTCAGGGCCTTCCAGGTAGTGTCCACAAAAGGATGAGGGGGGCCAGAAACAGGGGCAGAATGGGGAGGCCCATGTGGTCCAGGAATATTGCAGGGCCCTCCAGTCTCTGTCATCACATCTGCTTTTCATTCCTGCACAAAGAAGGTCCAAGAAACGGCCCTTGGCTCAGAGTTTACATGCTAAGATTGCTCTATCTAGGATCTGCAGCATCTTGCAAGCCTACCAGAGAGATAAGCATCCCCCAGGATCAGAAAGTGCGAGAGGCCCCTGTGTTTCCACGTATTTCCTTCCTAGCTGGCTGGGGTATGGGCATCACGGAGCCAGAGAGTGGAATTGGGGGAAGCTCAGGCTGTCCCCAGGTATGGACTCCTCTGGGCTGAAAGGACTGGGTCAGGTGCCCCGTCCTGTGGGCACCACTCTTTCTCCCTGTAACCTCCTGTTCTTTGTGGGGAGGTTGACAGTGTAGGTAGTGGGCTGCCTGCAGGGCAGGAGACCTAGGGAATGGGCAGAATGGCTGAGCTAGGCCCTGCCGGGATGGCCTGGTGGGTGGCCCTGCCCTCTCCGCTTCCCCTCCACAGCCTGGGATAGAGAGCAGTGTCCCAGCCCCGCTCTGGGGCTGGAAGTGGTGGGCAGGAGAAAGTGAACGGTGAGCTTTGCAGGCTGCAGACTGGGAAGCCTCCCCCGAACAAGACATCTCATGGGTTCTCTTGGGCGGCCAGGGCTCTCCAGGGAGTCGGCAGCCCCAAGCCCCACCGCTGCCTCAGGGGAGACAGGGAGTCAGGATACAGGCCCTATTGGCCACTAGCCATGGCCGTTCTGGGACATGTAAGCTGCCAGAGCCACCACCACAGCTACATAGAGACCAGCCCCCACGGCGATGGAGAGTGTGGCCAGGAAGAGGGCCCGGCGGGAGGTGGCGCTGGCCAGGTGGAAGTCCCCCTTGGAGATGGCCTTGCTGGTCTAGGAAGAGAGACGTGCTGATGAAAGGGAGACCCCACGCCCAGCAAAACAGCCGCACCCGCCAGGCCCCTGACCCCCTCCTGCAGACGATGCCTCGTCCTCCCGCAGAGGGAGGCGGTGTGCTCTTACCCCCTGCGAGAAGTAGAAGGCAGCAATGCCCAGTGGCCAGAAGCAGCAGAGCATGGAGAAGAGAGTGAGGCCCAGGTGGTCCCTGGGGGGCAGCGTGAGGAAGTTGTCTTCGCTTTCACTCTCTGTCCAGGTTGCATCACTCTGCAAAACAGTGCAGAGTTTGGCCTGTCACGCTAGCAAGTCTAAAGAAAGGCGATACCCAACGGGCAATGGTGTGGAGCAACAGGCGATCTCGCCCGCTGCAGCGTGAGGAAGTTGTCTTCGCTTTCACTCTCTGTCCAGGTTGCATCACTCTGCAAAACAGTGCAGAGTTTGGCCTGTCACGCTAGCAAGAGTCTAAAGAAAGGCGATACCCAACGGGCAATGGTGTGGAGCAACAGGCGATCTCGCCCGCTGGTGGTGGGCATGTAGGTTGGCCTTGGCACTCTCTACCAAAAGCCTTAGCAATGACCCTGTGATTCCACTTTTAGGGATTTACTGCAAGGAAAGCGTGCAAGTATCCATGTCCAGGGATGTTCATCATAGGATAGCAACTGTGAAAGATGAGAAACACTCTCAATTCCAATGAGCAGGTGACCAAGTTAGTAAATGATGGAAGAACTTCCGATGGAAGACCATGTAATCACTAAAAAGCACCCTGTAGGAAAATATTCAATTACACAGAGTGATAATGAAATATGTTGTTTAGAGAAAGATCAGGTTATAAAACTATGTACAGCAAGATCTCTTTCTGGGAGTGGGATGCGGAAAAAACATGTAATAAAAACAGATTATCATCCACTAAGATAATAGCGTGATCTTCAGGTGGTTTTCTGTATTGAATTTAAATTACTTATGTAAGTAAGAAAGCAAGAACAACAATGCTATTCAACACTTAGTCACCTCATGCTAGTATTTCTCAGAGTATAACTGCACCTGTGTCAGAAGTACCTTCTCTTTGCATGCAGATTCCTAGGCCCCAATCCAGGCCTATTAAATCTCCATGTCTGGGGGTGGGGCCTTGGAAATCTGCATTTTAAACACCTGCGCTTACCTCCTCCTCCTCCTGGTCGTCCTCCGGGCCCTGCAGCTCCTCTTGAACTCCATAGGACACAGTCTGGATGGTGACATCCTCTTTGGCTTGGCTGGGTTCTGTTGACTGCTCTGTGGGCCCCACCGGGGGCTCCCTGCCCTCTGTGAAGCTGGTCTCGCAGCTGCCCACCCTGGGATCCTTGACCTTGTCCCTCCCCAGGAGACAGCTGGGCAGGTACCAGGCCTCCACAGCCAGCTGCAGGGAGCCTGGGTCCAGGAGTTGGTGGGTGTGTGTGGGGGCAGCACCACCCAGGAGGTAGGAGTAGAGCTTCTCCTGGCAGGACCAGCTGGGTGGAGCCTCGGGGCAGGGATAGGGGCGGTGGAGGTGGGCAGGGCGCCTAGGCAGCAGGGGGTTCTGTAGTTCACTCAGACTCTCCATGGCTCTGGGGCACCTGCCAGGGAGGGGAGCCTGGGCCAGCCAAGCAGTCCTCAGGGAGCCTGTCGGGAGAGCAAGACAGACAGATATTAAGGCAGGGCAGGTGCAGGACTGGAAGTGGTTGGGAGCGCAGGCTCTGCAGTCTGACTTGGCTCAAACCCTGCCTTTGCCATTTGCCAGCTGTGGGACCTTGAGCTGGCTGCTTACCTTCTGAGCCTCTGTATCTTTGTGAATTGGGGATAGCAGTAGCACTTAGCTTGTAGAGTTTGTTCACTCATGTATCCATTTAACACATAATTATTGAGCATTAACTATATGCTAGGCTTGTACAGATGCTGTAGGTACGGTGGTAAGAAATGTGAGAAGGTGTAGCCAGATAAAGGATGGTGGGTATGAGAGCCCGGGAAAAGGCTGGAGTGTCTTGGGGTACAGATGGAGGTGTGAGGTGGGGTGTGGGAGCCAGACCATGCAGCCCTGTTAGGATCTAAGGGGGCTGCAGGGCTCTCAGCGGGGGTGATAGGATGAGATTTGGGTCCTGAAGCCTTCCTCATGGCCATGTGAGGGGAGTGGGTTGGAGAGGGTGGGGCTGACTGTGACACCATTAGGGGGCTTTTGCTATGGCTTCAGGTAAACTGAAGATAACTGGGACTCGATGGTGCAGATGGAGAAAAGGGGATGGGCCTTGGGAGATATTGACAGGAATTGGTGGCAGGTGGGATTTGGAGTTCAGGGAGGATTTGTTTTAGGGTTGAATGGGACCATGCTTAGCCCAGAGCTTGGCATGTGGTATGTTCTCACAGAGGTCAGCTCTCGCTGGGGAAGAATGCTTCCACCCAGGCGTGGTCTTGCGGGGCTTCACTTTAGGCTAATCTCCCCTCTAAGGCAAATTGTGACTTTGGGAATTCTTGTGGGATCTAAGGTGAGGCCTCCTGGGTGCTGAGTTCTGGACCTGTGAGTCCCAGCTGGAAGTCTGCTGTACCGTACATCCAAGTGTAGCCACCCTCAAGCATGCCGTGCCCTCCTGCAGCTGGCTGTGAGCACCTCCTGTGCACCTGGGAAGGCTCAGTGTAGCCACACTCAAGCATGCCGTGCCCTCCTGCAGCTGGCTGTGAGCACCTCCTGTGCACCTGGGAAGGCTGGATGAAGGAAGGAAAGGCGGCCCTCGAGTGTGCCTACAACAGACCCCCACACGTGCTGGGGTGTGGCAGGTGAGGTGGGGTGCAGAGGGAGGGGAGGGGCAGGCCAGGTGGCCTCAGGGACCTCCCACTCTCCCCATCCCAGGCCCATTGTGAAGTTGGAGGGTAACAGGGTAGTGTCTTGCCCAGGATTTCTAATCTGAAGATTGGGATTCAGTCCTGGCCTTGATGTCTTGGGCAAACTGGCATGCCTCTCTGAGTTTCCTCATCTGTAATGTGCAGATGATAATCCCTGTTCCCCCCCACCCACAGGTGTCTTGAGGATCCAGAGAGATGGCCGAGATGACAGTGTGCTGTAGAGTGTGAGTGCGAGGGGCCACTGTCCTTACTTCTTGGCTTCAGAACTTGTCTTCACTGACCCAGGGCCATTTCTGGCCTCCTAGCAAGTATTCTGCTAATGGTAACGGGGAAGTGTGGGGAGAGATTCTGCTTCCAGGGCTGGGATTATCAATTCCTTCCCAAGTCCCAGCCCCCATCAACAATCCATGGCCAAAGCCCAGGAAAGGGCTGTTTCTACTTGTCCTCCGAGAGAGATGCCTGGATTCTCGCAAGTTGTTTCTTCAGAAACCTGAAGCAGAGCATGGCTGCTGCAGTGATGCCCAGGTGGTGGGACAGAGCAGGGGGGGAAAGGGACCAGGCAGGCCCAGGGAGGGTACTGAGGGTGTGTCGGGGCCCAGGCTCCCCTGGTGACTGCTAGGAGGGTGGGGGTGGGCACAGCAGTGAGAAGAGGCTGCCCATGACTCTGATCTTGGAGCCCCTGAGTGGGGCTGCCTCCAAGCTGGGGCTCCAAGAATGTCTAATCATGGAGGGGCACAGAGAAGCTGACGTGGCCCAAGTGCCCAGCTCCTCACCTAAGGAGGGCACAGATGGTGCTGGGTGCTGAGCTGCCATGCATGTTCACCAGCCATTGTTTCCACGTGGGCTGTCACCCAGCTGTGGCAGAAGCCTCTCTACATGCAGAGATGGAGCACGCAGGCTTGGGCAGGGGCATAGGCATAGGTCACCGCTCTCCCATGCTCTCACTACTTCTCCCTCCTGCTCCCTCTCCAGGGGCCAAAAATGCAGGGAGCCCTTGGTCTATGGTGATGGGGAGGGGCTCATTCCTGCAGGTGGGGTGCTGGGAGTGCCTACGGCAGAGGCCTCACTGGGCTCCTCTGGACAGATTCGCAGGAGGACTGGTCTCCTCTGACCCTCAAGCGCAGCTTCTGAGCTCTCCATGGCCTCCTTCCTCCCAGCAGTTGTTACCCACATGCATGGAGTTGAAGGGTACATGACCGTAAGTTTGATGGGTTTGAGAGTGAGGTACATTGGGGTTCCATTCCTGACCCACCCCCTATTAGATTTTTGACCTGTCTCCTCAGTTTCCTCATCTGTACCATGAAGGGTTGAATGAAATGGTCACTGATGTCAATTGTGGCACTAACATGTCAAGATCTCATTGCCCCAAGGAGCCCCACAGACGTGAAATCCCCCCACCATGCCCCCTTCCAAGAGTCAGGGATAGATGAGCACATTCAGAGCCTGGTGAGGTGCACAGTCATCACCTTCCTTCCCACAGCCTCTTGAGTAGGTTGAGGAGACAAAGGAAAGGCAGGACATCTGTTTTCCAGTTGGGCAGTGGGGCCGTGGAGCCCTCTTCTGGCTTCCCAACCCCCTCTGAGCTGCCCCAGTCCCACCCCTGCCCCTCCACCCAATCTCGCCCACTCTCTGGGAATCTAGGACAGGGCTCCTAAAGGTGCAGCCTCTCCTCCAGCTAATCCTGAAGTCTGCCCCCTCCAGGGGCAGCTGGATCCCCACTCATCCCCTGGCTCCTTCAGCCTCTCTTGGTCAAAGTACACCCAGCTGAGCCTCCGCTATCTGCTCCGCACTCAGCCTCCTGCAGGTTCCCTCCTCCCTGGCTCTCAGACTTGAAGCAGGGCCTCTCAGCACCTCAGGCACAAGGATGTCCTCGTGTAATCCTGGTTTTACACAACAGGGGAAAACTGGAAGCCACCCGAATGTCCAGCAATCGGGAACGAGTTAAATAAATGACGGTACACAGTACAGTGGTAAGAGGCTTTCGAACAGGTTTACAAAGAGGGATGATGTGAGAAGATGCTCTGGTAGATTCCGTGAGAAGGGAGGAAAGAAAGTGGTGAGTGCGTGTGATCTCAGCTCCGCCAAAATGTCAACAGTGATTAGCTGCAGGGGTGGGACACAGGTGCTCTTCCTTTTCTTTTTTACACCCTGGTTTTTTTTTTCTGTTTTCCACATTTGTTTTTTAGAATGAGCATGTACTACTTTTAAACCTGAAAAAAATTAAGTGCATAGATTTCTTCTGAGCTGAATGATGTAAAATCGGTTTTAAACCTCCCCAGGCTTGGGGGGGGGGGGCGGTTCCTTGTGGGTTTGGTGGTTGAGCACAGTATTTAAGCCTGTCCCCCACCATGCCAACACACACACACACACATGCACACACACACGCACATACACACACACCTCCCCTTCCATTAAGCAACCCAGGTTAGCAGCTGCAGCTCCTGCTCACAGTCCAGCCAAGGGCTGCAGTTCTTTATGAGGCTTGTGTTCCCCCCACAACCTACTAGGGCCACATGGTACTTCACAGACCTGATCCTGGGGACCCAGAGCTGAGTCCTGGCCAGAAGGAGGGGTGGCAAGTCCCCAGCCGTCTCTGCACAGCACCTGGACTGGCCTTTCAGCCTGTACCTGGGTCTGCCTCTCCCTGTTTCCTGGAGCAAGGGACTAGGGTTCAAAGCAGAGCAATTATCATCATCTCCTCTGCTGCCTGGTCTCACCTGGACTGTGTGTGCCTTCCAGACTGCGGTTGCCTGAGTACCTGCAGGCGAGCGCGCCTGTATCTGAGTGTATGTGTGACCACGTGTGCACCCTTCTCCAGAGGAAAGACACGAGGGAGTCTAGGATTCTGAAGCTGAGAAGATTGCTCCACATTGTGCAGTTGGAGCTGTGGGTCTGGACCCCCCAAGAGGAGAGGGAGAGAAGGTGGCTCTGTGAGGCCACAGCCCCTGGGTTTGTGAGAACTGAGCTGGGCCCTAAGGTTTTTCTGATCCTTGATTTGGGGATGGAGAGCACACTGCTACCTCCCAGCCCAGGGGCAGGAAACCACCTAAGAACCCACTGGAATCCAATTATAGCCTCTGCTGAGTCTAGTTGCACTAGAGTCCAGCTATACAGTGTGACATTGGTTTGCTTATCTATGAAATACAAGAGAGTGTGGGAGGGGTTGATTTTTAACCACTCAACTCAATATGAACCTAGGATTCTACTGAGACAAGAAGAAGAACTTACACTTACTGAGCTTTTTACCACGTGCCAGGAACCGAATGGTTCTAAATATTCATTTTGACTCTATAATTCCAGTGGGAGGATAACAGCAGCAGGGGGCTTCCCATCCCAGCTGGGGTGGACTAACTCATGTCACACCAAACTGCCAATAATAGTTGGAAAGCTGGGGGTGGGGGGCAGCGAGGGATATAGGGCACTGAAGAATCACCAAGGGAGCAAGAATTTGAGGGGTCAGAATGCCAAGATCCAGAGGAAAGAGAAACACAGAGAGGTGAGCCTGACACTTGGCACCACTTTCCCCTCTGAGGCCCTTCTTGATTCACAGGTGGCAGCTTAGAGGCTGCTCTCCCAGCAGCATCAAGGGCTGGGGAGAAAAACTGGAGTTCAGGGCCTGTTAAGGAGGAGGGCCCCCAGTAAACACCCCAAGCTTTCCATTGGGACCTTTTTAGAGCTATGCCTTAGAAGTAGGAGCAAACCAGAAACAAGCCAGCCCTCACAAGGACTGAAACCAGGCTCCGAACCAGCTCCACC